CTCTCCAGCCTGGGGTGGGGCGGATGCCACAGGGACGCCATGGCCTCCGTGGTGCGGGAGTCCAAAGCGATCTGCGTCTCCAGGTCCTGGAACAGGAGGGCAGCAGCCTGGAGCACCAGCTCCAGTCACTCCAAAATGGCCGGAAGGGGCCAGAGCAGGCACATGGCCACCCCTAGCTCCATGGCAGAAAAAACAAGGGAGATGAAGAAAAAACAAGCAAAGGCACTAAGTGACAAAAGGCAGTGGTGTCCAAAAAGGCCGAGGGCAACCATCAAAACTGCTACGGCTGGCCTTTGGAAAGGGCTGGTGCCCTTTTGCCCTCTTCAACATGGTTCTGGGCTTCTGCTTTTGCGCAAAAGCATCCCGCCAATGTAGACCGCGCTTTTGCAGAAAAGCGCATCGTTGTAACGATAACTCCGGGACCAATCTAGATGCGCTTTTGCGCAAATACTTTTAACGGAAAATCTTTTCCATTAAAAGTATTTCCACAAAATCATGCCAGTCTAGACGTAGCCTATATGTTCATATTGGCATAGGAAGTCAGGATAAGGTTCATTTTTACATGTCAGAAATAAGAAAATATTTGAAAAAACTGGATGTACTATCAATTTGATACTTAAAAATCTTTCTTATTCATTCTAATATGTGTATGTGATTGTTTGGTTTGGTTTTTTTTTGCCATGTTTAAAAACCAGTGTTACCTCCAGTTACCAGTGTATTTGTCTGTACAGATTCAGTATCTTTCTGATTTCCCTTTTTGTGGGCAGACAGGAAAAGAAAGTGTGTGTTCGAGAGTGAGGGATGGCGCGGAGAGCGTTTTCCACGGTATCTCTCTTACTCAGGGCTGGATTAAGACCTTTAGAGGCCCTAAGCACTGAGAAGACTATGGTGCCCCCCCATATGTAATTCAAAATAAAAATAATACTGTACCGTAAAATCTCTTTTTTTTTTGGTGCCCCTGATTTGCTGGTGCCATAAGCACGTGCTTAGTCTGCCTATTGGGTAATCCAGCCCTGCTCTTACTCCTCCATAACTGTACCTGAAGAAGACCTTTTGCAGTTTCACGGTACAGTTGTTCTTTGCTGCATCATATAGTCCTCAGTACCAGTGTACTTGTCAGAGAGCCAATACTGACTAGTTCTGTATTAACTTCTATGATATGAAACCCTTTCCTCTTAAAGAGGGTTTCAGGAACAGCAGATGGTATGACCGACTATTTCAATATGGGAATTTGGGAAGCAGTATGGAAGCACGAGCCTCTTTAGATGGGAAGTCACTAAAGTAGAGGATCAATTCCCAGCATTGTGGGTGGGTGTGGATAAGTAGGTGGCAAAGACAAATGAAAATAAACTTCTACTGTTATTATTTTTTGCAGTGTGCTTGTAGCCATGTTGGTCCCAAGCTATAAGTGAGACAAGGCAGGTGAAGTAATCTTTATTTGTTGAATCAACTTCTGTTGGTGAGAGAGACACATTTTTGAGCTACAAAGGGTTTCTCAAAAGTTTGTCTCTTTCACCAACAAATTTGGTCCAATGAAAGATATTACCCCATAGATTTTGTCTCTGTTATTATATATCATTTATATTGTTAGAGCACCTGCATGTTCTAGGCATTATACCAATATATGGAGAATCAGGGAGTTGGCTCCAAATATCTTGCATTATATTCAATAATTGCTCACTCTGGGCACTTCCTTTTCCAACTTGAGACTTGCCTGTCTGGGGACAATATAGCCCTTACATCTCATATTTAGGCTATGTCTACACTACGGAGGGTTTTTGGTTTTTTTTTTGAAAAACAGCTGTTTTTCTGAAAAAACTTCACTTACGTCCACATTGCAATTGTGTTTTTTTTTTAAATCGAAAGAACAGAGGGTTTTTTCCGAGATTGGTAAACCTCTTTCTACGAGGAAGATGCCTTTTCCAAAAGAGCTCTTTCGGAAAAAGACATCTGTGGTCAAAGAAGAGGGAGTTCTTAAATGCAAGACAGCGTCCATTCAGTATGGATGCTATCTTTCGAAAAAGCAGATCACTTTTTCGATGTGCTTTAACAGTGTGGACACTCTCTTAGAAGACTTTTTTTTTGGAAGATCTCTTCCAGAAAAGTTATTTCGGAAAGAAGCCTGCAGTCTAGACATAGCCTTAGTCTGGCTTTATTGTTGGTGAAATTGTTACAAGAAGCCAGATACTAAGGGGACTTTACACTACTGCTGCACAGGAATAGTTTCATTGATTTCAATGGGTCTGTTTGCAGAACTAGGGCTTAAGTCTCTATTTAAAAAAAGCTCATGAAGAAACACAAAGCAATTTTGTTGAGTGGTCGGGGGAAGAAAGATGATTAAACAATAGACAATGTAGCGTTGTGATCCTGCAGTATACTTTCTTGCAGAATTGCAGAATCAGGGCCCATATTTGTAGTTTTCAGCAAGACTGTAATAATTCCAGAGATCAGCATTTCTAATTATTCACAGCTCTTTGCAATAAAAATAGAATGTTGCTACGCAGAGGAGAATACTGTTACGAAGCTAACTGCTCACACATTTAGCCTAAATAGGTGTGTATAGTTTATGAACTTTATTGCAGAGGAGAATACTCTTACGAAGCTAACCGCTCACACATTTAACCTAAATAGGTGTGTATAGTTTATGAACTTTATCACAAACAATATTTTCCGTTTGAAGTCAAGCCTACTTCCCAAAACAAATGCTTTTGTTCAGTCATATTGCAGGATTCATTTGAAATTTGCAGTAGTATCCGAGTTAGTCATGACTATCAAGATTTGCGTACTGTAATATGCTTTTTGCACTAACCATGTACACTCACAAGACTATATGAACAAAGATGAATCCAGTCTTTTCAATCCATAAAATAATCACCACGTCTCTTTCATCAGTGATAATCTTTCTTCGCTTGTTTAAAAGAAAAAAAAGTCTGCAGCTGTTCTAGTGTTCCCTTTATATTTCTTCTTTGTATGTTGGCTCTTGATTTTTTGTTATATTATGAACACACTAAAATATATTCAGTATTCAGGACTCTGTGTTTACCTTACTTGATTAGTCATATTATTCTAAAGTATTTACTCTTTTTGTTTCGATAGGAAATGATCTATTTTTAGTGGCAGTGCATGAACTGGGTCATGCTCTAGGCTTGGAGCATTCCAATGACCCCACTGCAATCATGGCTCCATTTTATCAATATATGGAAACAGACAACTTCAAACTACCTAGTGATGATTTACAGGGCATTCAGAAGATATACGGTATGTCATATTTTATTACATATATTAAATATTTTTCTTTAGAGCATATTTGAGTATAGGCTGTGCCAGCCATAGTCCCAGAGGTCTTGATTCCTTGCTGTGAGAAAGACATGGATTTTAATGAAACTCTCTTATTTAGTCCCACTCTCTTCACAACTTGCATCTAAATCTGCACTCAGCTGGAATGGTAATCGTAAATATTTAAACTGCTAGTAAAGAATATCTGTAAAGGGATTCCAAACTATTAAATTATTAAGAGATGCAAGCCTGACTCATAACCAGCTCAATCCACAGTATTCTGTGGCTTATATAACTGGATGAATTGGTTGGTTCTCAATATATCAGTTATAAAACTATGCAGTTCCCTGAGTAAAGCCAATCTGTGCTTCAGCACCTCCCCTGTTTCCCCCACTATTAATACAATAAATGTAGAAAACGGATTTCAAAAGCTTTCTATGAACACCCCAAGGTTTTAAGCAACATATCAGGGGGGAAAAAAATCTACTCTTTAAAATGTATATCATAGTCAGTTAGTGTGGCTTAAAATGAAAGACACATCCACTGTAAATAATTTCTCATTTTATTTTATTCAGTCAACAAATGCAAGTTAATTGAAAAGAAAAAAACCATTTAAAGGAAATGTGACTTTCACCTGAGAGTCTGACATTTCCAAAGGCATTTTTTTTAATACATAGTTTTAAAAAGCTTGGCATCCACAGTTAACCATTAAAGAATCTTCTTTGCTAAATTAATGGAGCATTTACATTCTTACAGTGAAAAATCTCTTCAATCTGTGTGAATATCAAGTGACTGGTAGATATCATTTGCATTTGCAAATGATGTCATTTAAGTTCACTAATTTGTTTTGCATTCATTAGTTTTCCAATTTAAATGTCTAAGTGGTAAGTGTTCTCTCAGGGTTAAACTGACTTTTAACAAGGTCACATTTCTTACTGATCTTTTGCTTTTAGGAAAGCTAGATGAGTAGGTACAGAGTAATGGTGCGCCTCTGATTAGAAACCAAATCCATCTATGCTAAATATATTATACTCAGGATGTTCCACAAAGGGGACAAAATGATTGCTAGCTAAAATTTCTTTTATGTGGTTATCCAAAATAAGATTGCAATCATAAGTTAGCAATCTAGACAAGGATATTTTGCCCATATACTAAATATTAAGCTCTAAGAGCTTGTCGAGGGGTGCCTTCTCTGCCCAATGGAGAGGGCAGAAAAAGTCCGCTGCAGCTCCTTGCACTGCCATTCAAGATAGATTTTTGTGGCTGATAGACCAGCCTATGTATAGCAATCTGCACTCAGTTCAGTATGGCCTAGCAGCCACAGAGTCCAAACATTCCCCCTTGCGGTCAGGGTAACTTGGACTAGCGGTCAGAGAGTCTAGACACCGTATGGCACGGCGGCCTCAGAGTCAATATACAGTCCCTCTGGGGTTAGGGTAGTATGGCCGAAAGCCACAGAGTCCATACATAATAGACAATGCTCCCCCCACATGAGGGTATCTGAAGAGCAGATAAGGAGGACCCTTCTCCTCCGGGAAGCAGTGGCATGATCCACTACTTGCTCAGCAGAGAAGCCTACCTCAACATGCTGAGTTCTTGGGGAGCAATTTTCCACCCTGGGGCTGTTTCCTACTGGGTTCCTAATATACCTTCTCCATCTTCACACTCTGGACTGGAGGCTTCTACTGCAGTCCCTCTCGGCCAGCCTGCTGCTGTTTGATATAGTTATGCTTCCTCCCCAGGAGCTCCTGCAGCACCTCCTTCCCCTGCAGCAGTCAGCCCTTACTGAGGAGCTCTAGAGGCCTTTGTAGCCAGCCTCCAGTCAGAGCATACCCAGCAGGGCTGTGGGGATGGGGCTTTCTCAGCCAGCTGGGCCAGGTTAAATCTCTGGCCACAGTGCAGGGTAGATACATATAGATGTATGCTATTGAACTCCAGAGAAGTGATGCCCAATATCACTATCAAATATGGAAACCTTAGTTTCGATTTGGAGTCATTCAAATATTAGCTACTGCAAATTAATTCCTTTGCTGCCTACTAAAATCAAAAGGTGATTTAGACTCAGTGTCTGAAAAAAAAGTTTCTTCTATGAAAGTAACTACATTGGAAGACAGTATTCCTCACAGCCTAATTAAATCTAAATTATGAATGTCATGCTCCTTAAAATTATGAAGGAAATAAATGTCTTATTAAATTTCACTGATGGTAGTTCAAGTTGCCTTAAATGTTCAATAACTAAACATTTATCCTAGTTAATTTACTTACTTCGATCAAATACTAGACATTCAGATTTCATGTATGTGAGATTTAGTTTTGTCTCAGATTGCAAAGATGCTATTTAACCTACTATCATGCAGATGAATTAAAGCAGGCATTTTTGTCATGTAGAGATAGACACTACAGTTAAACTGGTTTAGACAGATAGCTACATACAACGGGCAGACTTTCCCCCTGTTTCCAAAGATATTATTGGTCCTACAGAGATGTCCTGTGTTTAAAATGGGAACTATCACTACATCCAATAATATCTCTAGAACTGAAATGATCGTATTACTTACAAATAGCAAAAGTATGAATGGACTAGTCAGATCATCCTAAATGAGTGCCATTAAAACCTTTATTTTGTACCTTGGCATCATTTATTCAGAATATGTCAAATATGTTACAAAGCAGCTATTTTAGAAATATTTTACAGATACAGGCAGTCCGGGTTACATGGATCCGACTTACATCAGATCCCTACTTACAAACGGGGTGAGGCAACCCTGCACTAGCTGCTTTCCCCCAGCAGACCAGGGAGACGCGAAGCTAGCGCCCCTCCCAGCAGACCAGGGAGACGCGGAGCGGCTTTTCTCAGCAGACACTTCAGCTTGAGAATAAAGGGCTGAGGGAAGTGAGGTGTGGGAGAATAAAACTGAGCTCTGGAGAAATGTTTGGCTAGAGTTTCCCCTACAATATGTACCAGTTCCGACTTACATACAAATTCAACTTAAGAACAAACCTACAGTCCCTATCTTGTACGTAACCCGGGGACTGCCTGTACATCAATACCATGAACTTTAATGGCCAATCTCAAGATCTATGCCTAAAAAGAGGTTTTGTGCCCCCTACGAGCTAGGAAATTATCCTTTCCTTTGAGGTTCACAAGATATGAAACGTCAAGCCTATCACAAGTGCAGAACTCAGTTTTACCTGCTAGCAACTTAGACTAGTATAGCTGGAGGAGAAGGGATAGAAATTCCATCTTTGCAGCAAAGAAGGAAATATTTTTGAGTCTGGTTGACATAGCCACAGAGTAGCACATAACATGGAATATTAGAAGTAGCTCAAGAAAAGATAGATTAGTGGGAAAAGATCAGGTTACTTGGTCAAAGATATATAATAAATGCAATTTATTACATGCTTGTGTTATTACACAACCATCACATGTGCCATATGTATGGATGGAGGGATGTAAGTAAAGATTGGTCTGGCACCCTCGGGACCTGACCAGTCCTGAATGAGAGATTTTGCCAGATCAGGAATGGTCATTTCTGAGGCCCCCTGTCACTCCACTCCCCCCCAGCTGTGGCCTTGCTGCCAGCCTCCCAGCCAGCTTCCCCTTGCGTCAGCCTCTCAATGCAGGGCTCCCAGCGCCACGGGGCAGCCCCCCATTGGGGTTCAGTTGCATCACCGGGCATCAACTGCTTGGGCTTCAGCCTCATTGGGCATCGCTGGTGCCTCCCAGCCTCACCAGGCAACTCTACCAGGTGGCAGTGGGGCTGCCAAACTCTTTGCTTTGCTACTTGGCCACTTAGCAGCTCCACTCCCAGGTTCCTGGCCTTGCCGCCAGGCAGCCCCGCGTTCAGGCTCCCTGCCTCATGGGGCAACCCTACTTCTTCCTAGTTCTGCTGCGCAGCTGTGCCACTGGTTTTGCTTCCGGGTGGCCCAGTTACCGGGTTGCCATCCCCACCTCTGGGCTACCCCACTGCCTCTCGGTCTCACTGGGCAGTTTTGTTGCCAGGCGGCAGCCCAGCTGGGCTGCCAGTTTTTCTGCCATAGGGCAGCCCCTCTTCTGGGCTACAGCCCTGCTGCTGGGCTCCCAGCCATCAGCCCTCCATGGGACTCTCTGGTCCTGGAGGGACCAGGGATATTGCCAGTCCAGAGAGTCCCAGTTAAGAGAGGTTGAACCTGTATTAGAGTGTTCAAAAACACGAATTGGTTGTCTTGGTTGGGGTTAGGATGAATTTCCCATATTTTACATAACCAATAAAATTTTGTTCTCACCAAAATAGATCTATACACGATCTGCTCAAGTGTACACTGTAAATCATTCATGATATTAAAGTTTGTTGGGGTCTTTAAACTTGTCGGGGAAGAAAGAAGGAAGGTATCAGAATTCCAGTAGTCAACTTTTTCTTCAGAAGTCCTTTGGCTTTAAAGGACCCAAAGCACATGGTGTTATACTGTTATCTTCACAGCTCAGAATTTGGAAAAGGCATCTGTTGCCATCTAAGCCATTCTTCTGCCAGTACAGCTATACTCCTTGTGGTATATTTTTGTTGAGCTTTCTGTAGTGCAGTTTATGGTGATTTAAACAACGTCCTGCTGATATTTTTTAGGTCCACCTGACAAGATCCCACCACCAACAAGACCTCTGCCAACAGTGCCCCCGCATCGTTCTGTTCCTCCAGCTGATCCTCGGAAGAATGACAGGCAGCCTAAACCTCCTCGGCCGCCCACTGCTGACAAACCTTCCTATCCTGGAACCAAACCAAACATCTGTGATGGGAACTTCAACACTCTAGCTATTCTTCGCAGGGAAATGTTTGTTTTCAAGGTAGGAAGCTGTGATTTTTTTTATGTTACATGAAGTGTCTGCATTTCTACTTTTTTAGGAAACAAGCTTTCATTCATTATGATTCTGCTTTCCCAGCCCTCTCACACTTAGAAAGTTCAAGAAAAGAAACTAAGGAATAAATATACAAATGGCTTAAATGTCTAGCAGAGCATTACTGTAATGTTCTATTTTTGGAATATATTCATGTCAGCAGAAACTATAATGCCTCAAAATGTAAGGGTAAGTAAATACAGCATGTTATGCAGAGATTAAAAAAACATAATTCAAGGCATGAATAGAAGCTGATAGGAATGATTTTGTTGGGAACTTAGCCACTTCCAGGCACATTGCAGTTATTGTGTCTTCAGCACACACTTCTTTATAAGGACCCCGCAATTTAACTTTATAATTAGATCATTCATTTATAAAGGATTTTTGTCATTGTGCAGTGGTTGCTTTGATACATATTTGAGTGAAGGTTTTTGCTATAAGAACTTCCTTGCAGATGTTTTATTTTATTTCAATTCATCAAGTTGTCTTGAGCTGCATATATATGGTGCATCTCATACAAACTGGACTATCCTTTTGATGGACAGGCTTCACTTGAAGGCTCAAAGACAAACACATTAAGCAAAGTCATTTGTTAGAAGAATGATCTAGTAGAGCACCTTGTATAATTTCAAAATTACATAGCAGGCTACAGAAATATCAGAATCATTATTCTTTCTCTTAAGTAAATTAATTTGCTGGCAGTTATTGTGCAAATTGCATGAAATAAGCGATAGGTAATGTTAATGTTGTATATTATCTTGGAATCCACAGAGATGTCCCAAATTTGTCTGAACAATGGACTAGGCAGGGTTTGTGTCCTGTAAATATATGTCATCACTCTTTTAAATTTCAAAATTATACCCAGAAGAGGCATTTTATGTTAATTCATTCAAATTGTTGAATTCTCTTCACAAGGAAAGGGCAAGAGATAAATTATTTTTCCATAAAAGACTGAGGATTGTGTCAGTCCTTCTGAAAAAAGGAAATAACCTCACATTTGAATTTTTGGCTTTCCTTCAAATTTTGTCTGATTTTTTTGGAAGTGCTATTCCATCAATCTTTGTGAATAAAACCAAAAGGTTAAGGCAGAATCTAATTTTCTGAGATACATTAAGCAGGATATTAAAATACCTACTTCATCTCGTATCATCCATCGAAAGAACAACAGAACATACTCTCATTTATTTGGACATAATTTGATAAATACTGATGTGATCTACCACTAATACAAAATTGCCTGTCTACCCAGCCCTATGCTTTCAGACAAATAGATGCATTATAATTTCTAACTACTTTTTCCCTTTATATTTGAAAATAAAAGTTGTAGCCATTAACAGAAAACCATTTTAATTCAGTTTTACTTACTAACTTAAAATAACGTATTCATCGTACATTTTATAAACACTCAAATATGGTTTTATGTTTCAATAATAAGCAGATTTCTAGTCATGCTACTCCACTCAGTGACAAAAACTTGGTAAAGCTCATTCCAACAAGTCTAATAAGCAACAGAATCCATAGGTTCGTATTTTGGGCCTTACTTTCCAAAATGTATGTTCAATGCCAGGCGTTTTTTTACCTGCACACTGACACATTTAATATAAATAATTGTGCTTGCAAATTGCCAGGTAATTATCCAGTTGGTCACTGGCAAACTAAAACACTCAATTTTTGTGTACCCTTAGAGTTGCATATGCAAATTGGAATCATGGTTGCAGAACTCACGCTCTTCTAAAAATGTGGCCATGATTGCTAGGAAGTTAAAAGTAGAATTGAGATGCAAAAGGAAACAAGCAGTCTGAGATTCACAGAGTATTTTCAGGGGAAGCTGCAAGTAATAATAATTTCAAGGAAACCCATTTTCTTTACATATCAGCTTCTAGGATGTACTCAAGGGCCTCAGAAGTTTTTGTTCAAGCTCATGACCTTTATTTGCAATTTTTAAGAACATCTTGCAATGTCTAATTGCATATTTCCAGAGTGAAAGTTAATAAAGCTATTTTTAAAGATAAAAGGAGATTTTTCTCATTCCTTTTAATTACTTTCTATCATTACTTTTTCAATATAGCCATTTTTCCAACTTACAGTGCTTGATAAAATTTGTGCAATTTTTAAAACTTGATTTCAAAGAGGAGGAACAGACCCTGCTCTGACTCAAACTATAAATACAAGAACACAACAGCTCACTTATTTAAAACTTGCCACAGATCAGCAAGTGTACTTGCTTTTGTGGATGAAACTTTTTAATAACAATGTTTAGATTTCTGGGACGAACAAATTGCAATTCTTCAAATATACCGCAAGTAGAGCCACAATAAGTGCATTGTTCCAAAAAGACTTCTCCTTAGAACATTGGGGAATAATCTTGCCCTTAAAATTCCCCTGCCAATTCTGATAAACAGGGAAGAAGTTCGTTATTGGGAAAAAAGAAAAATAAATGTAGCTAAAGGAAAAATGGAAATAACATCTATAGTTGGTTTGAAAAATGCGGCAGGTCAGAATATATGATTGATAGTGGTGGTCTCTTCTGACCTTAAAGTCTATGGGTATGGCTACACTACAGCGTTAATTTGAGTTAACTTAATTTGAGAATTAAGTAATTCAAATTAACGTGTCTACACACAAAACCTATTTCAAAATAGCGTTTTGCTATTTCGAAATAGCGCATCAACACTGAGTGGACCCTGAACCAAAGTTAAGACTGGCCAGAACCAGTGCCGGTAGGGCATCAGGTTAGGACTTAGTCCATGGGGCTGCTGCCTGAGGCTAATGGGGCTTCGTGTTTAAAGGGACCCTACCTCCACCCCAGACAGACAGTTCTCAAGGTTCCCTGCTTGCTTGTCTACCTCGACGAAGGACAGCAAAGCAGTCCTGTCTTGCAGTGCCCTGAATGCCTGCACTCAGGACACCACAGCACTCGGCCACATGGAGCCAGAGCTGCCCATGGGGCATGCCATGCGTCTCATGGGGTCGTTGCCATCAGCCCGACTGCACTTGCTGCAGGCTGCCATCTGGGGAGTTCATCGGGGGGCTGTCAGGATCCAGGAGGCCCTGCGGGAGAGCGTCCACCCCGAGGAGCCCTCAGAGCCACCCCGGTCCTCCTCACTGGGTGCTCATACCCCATTGCTCCCTCACGTCCTTCCACTTACCCCACCTAGACCCCCTTCCTGATGTCAAACAAAAGACACCTATGTTCAAAAATAGAAACTGGGTTTATTGAACAAAACTGGGGGGGGGGGGGGGATATGAACCTCTTGGGAGACTGGGTAAAGAAGGTGAGAGAGGGGAAGAGAGAGGGGAGGGGGAAACCTGGGAGGAGGGAGCTGGAAGGGGGAAGCAAGGGAAATTAGCGGAAGGGGAGCTCAGGGCTCTGGGTTGGGGGTGTCACCGGACCAACTTGATTTCCATGCAAACCTGCTCCTGGGTTCACATGTGGCCTTTGATAGCCAGTCTGGCAGCTATCCTGCCATAAACGGCTGCATTCCTCCATCTAGTGTGGAGATCATGGACGTTGGGAGCATCCCCCCCAAACCTGAATAAGGTCCATGATCTCCACCCTGGACCAGGAAGGCACCCGCCTTCTCTGGGCCCTGGCAGGCTCCTGGGAGCTGCTCCTGGGGAGCAGTGGAGGGCTGGCTGCTAGCGGCGGGCCTTGGTGGCCACTGCTGGCTCTGGGCTGGCAGACTTGGAGCTGGCCCAGGCACTGTGGCCAGACTCTACCCCTTTAATGTTCTGGGGATGGGGGAGAAGAGAGTAAATTTTCCTGGTTGTGCCCAGAGTGACCACCTGGGCTTCCTGGGAAGGGCTGGAGGCCCCCTATTTCGAATTAAGTGTCTACACAGCACTTAATTTGAAATAGCTATTTTGAATTTGGCGTTACTCCTTGTAGAATGAGGTTTACCAAATTCGAATTAAGCGCTCCGCTATTTCGAATTAATTTTGAAATAGCGGTTTGCATGTATAGACTCTATTAAAGTTAATTCGAAATAACAGCTGTTATTTCGAATTAACTTTAATAGAGTCTATACATGCAAACCGCTATTTCAAAATTATGGAATTTTTATTAAGTAGTTTTATTAAGTATGAAATAATCTATATTTCATATAGATAAAGTTGATTTCTAACTTATTGCGGGGCCAGGGAGGAGGACAGTTGCCTAATCATGCTTGAAGAGACACAAGCTACAAATGAGATAGCAGAATTTTTGAGCACCAACAGTTCTTTCTCCAGAGGCTCCTGTCATCCCCTACAATTGTGCTGAATAGGAATAGAGTTTTGTTTTCACTCTTACTCTCAGTATTTTCTTCCAGCTAATTTCCCCCCTCTATTTAGTTATGCCTCCCACAGGGATGTAGCAAATAGATGAAAAACAAAAGAAAACAAACTGTTGCCTCACTCATGGGGAAGCTGTGCAACTTGTCATGCCATTGTCTATCTGCTTTTACTGCAGAATCCCTCTGTCACTGTGTGTAGCACTCTCTAAGGTATCTCATAGTCTCATCTGCTTCAGTCTCAGCAGAAACACTCCTCTCACAGTCCATACATCTGGGGCTATCTGCTTCATTGAAAGGAACTTCATTTTCTCAGATCATTTGGCAGGATCCATTATTGCAGTCGATTTTTTTTTACATTTCCTTCACTTTCCATGCTGCATATCATCCTTTCTGCTTTTTCAGTCTTCTGAAGTAGTAAGCCAGACTTTAAGGCTAGTCCAGCATTTCCTATCTGTGGCATAAATTATGTTCATCACTTCAGACAAACTATTTCATTGTTAAAAATGTTTAAGAGGACAGATTTGTCCTGGTCTTGAAATGGCTATACCATTTCCTTGCTTCCCTGTAGTTCCAAATGGAGTCATTCCGTTCATTTTTTTCTAACTAATTAATACTCAGGGAAATGTCATGTCTTTTTATTAATTCTGTGTCATGGTTAATTCTTATGAAAGAGAG